CATTAGACTACTCATGAAATTACTGAAAAAATGAACGGATTTAATTATTTGAAAACAAATGAAATTGATGATGGTGATTCGGTGACTTTCTTGAGGTCTAAAAATGTGATTACTCCCAGTTCGGTCGACTGGAGAAACGAAGGATACGTGACACCTGTAAAAGACCAAGGTATGGATTGCGAATCGTGCTGGGCGTTTAGTGCTGTAAGTTTTAGTTTATAATATGATAATGACTTAATTTGTCGGTATAAAATAATTGGATTTATTATAATTAAACTTTCGAAAAATCGTAAACAAGTTTACACAAATAATTTTTATTTATACTTTTATCAGAGTCTGGTAATATTTAGTTTTCTGTTTTGTTTTTTTTTAAAAAAATTAAAATTAATGGTTACTCTTAGGGTTTCAGTTAATACCAGATTTAAATAGATTATAGGTAAGTTCTACGAAAGTGTAATGAGATCAACTATGTTGTAAGGTTCACAGTATTTGGCGGTAGACAGATCAAATAGAACAGTGAATGAGTGGAAATACGTGTTAAAATAGGAAATGCATACCATTTATAATGTCAGTATTATTGACGCGGATGTTGTCCGGAAAATATCACTAAAAATTTGATTGCCAGACTAAGAACACCCGACCAGAGTCCCTTGCTTGTTAGATAATTACTCTTACACTAAATTATCCGGAACTTAACTTGAACGGTTAAACACCCCGGTTTTGAGTAGTTGGTGGAGTAGCTGTCTGTATAAATGAGGGGACAATGTGGCGTTTAGTTTTGCATGCCCGCGTCAAAATATAGCTAAAACATTTGTATAATATCTGTATTTGTCTTCCAAACGTAACATGTAGGGATTTAGGCGTGATTTATTTCCAACGTACTAATTAAGCTAAGGAAGTTATATGGACTCTAAAAGCAGATTTAAATTTGTCGTGAAGTATATTTGAGATCGACTTACCCACTCTTTTGATTATTGATTTCAGTAACTCAAAAAATTAAAATATCCTGTTTTAGATTTAGAGTAAAGTGAAGAAGTTTATAGTTTTATAAGAATGGTTAGTATTTTCTTTTTTTTATCTGTGTCAAAACTTTTCTACTAGAAATCTTGCCCAGATTTTTAGTGTTGCACCATTTCTGGAAGGAAATTGTTGTAGCTTCCCTATTAATTTAGGTGTCTTTTGACTTTCTCAAGAGTTTTCAATCAAATATAAATGTAATCAAATGTAAAACCTGAAAAAAACGGGAAGTATTCGAAATATATCACTGAAATATTACGATTTCTTTATTTGTATACAACTCTTTAACTAGCGATTTTCTCCAATTTATAATGAGAGGTACTTTTGAAAAGTAATTATTAATTTATCCCGAGAGTATTCCAGACTAAAGTGAAAAACGGGGTAAAACATGAAGAAACTGGGAAAAACATAAGAAAACTGGAAAAATCGGTAATGCTATATCATTATCATAGATTTCAGGGAGATAAATTTAAAAAGTGGGAAAGTGAATCTCAAGTTCATAACAAATTCAAATAAGTTTTCAGAATTCTTATCTCTTTACTAGACCAACTGGTACGTTAGAATTAGTTGCCTAAGTGTCTAAATGCCTATATTTTACGTGAGTTCGTCGAAGAGAGGACTCGTTGCTTCTATTCCCCTAAAAGCGTTTTATGGTTTTATCAAAGTGTATATGTTTTAATTTTAGACTGGAGCATTGGAAGGACAACATTTCCGGAAGACTGGGAAGCTCGTATCATTGAGTGAGCAAAATTTGGTCGATTGCTCTAATTGGTTTGGTAATTATGGTTGTATGGGTGGCCTTATGAATAATGCGTTTAGATATATAAAATATAATAGAGGAATTGATACTGAGGATTCGTATCCTTATATGGGCGGGGTAAGACTCCATCGAGTTGATTGGCATATATATTAGGAAATTTATTAATAAATATTTACAGCAAGGAAAGTGCAAGTACAGTTTTAGACACAAGGGCGCTACCGACAGAGGATACGTGAACATTACCCATGGAGACGAAAACGCTCTCATGGAAGCCATTGCTACTGTTGGGCCGATATCTGTTGCTATAGACTCTTCAGGGCTTGACTTCGGCTTTTATAAATCAGGTGTGTTTTACGCGTCTGATTGTAGTTCTACACGGGTCAACCACGCTGTACTGGCTGTTGGTTATAACACCACAGAATCGGGAGAAGACTATTCCTATCAATTCTTAAGAACCCCTGAGGATTGGGGCGAAAATGGTTATGTTTTGATGGCACGTAATAGGAATAATAACTGTGGTATCGCAACTATGGCCAGTTATCCTTTGGTCTAAATTAAAAAAATTTATCAAGCGAGAAATATTATACATGTGTTCTTAGTTTTAACAATATTGTATCAAATAACTACTACAATATAATTATGTCCAAAAAATTATACTTATTTCTCACTACTATACTATGTTTATATATGAATGTATTATTTTTTAAACAAATACCTTATTGATATGTTTTAAAAATTAATAAATTTCATGAGGATTAATATCCATACATAATGATAAATAAATAGTACCAGTACATATAAATAAATGGATCCTTAATGTTATAAGTAGGGCCAAGAATAAAATGCAATCAAATTATGAAAAATATGAAAAATATATTGTTTCGTTTTTCAATTGTAACTATAGAAAACGAATAAGGTACTTATTTAAAATAAATATAATCGTATTTATTTTCCCGGTTAATCCTTTTTATTTTAAATACCATTTCCGAAATTAAAAAAAAATGTATGTGTTTATTAAGGAAATAAGATTGACTTTTAAAAAAGGTGCTACACTCAGATACTGCTATACATCAGAGCTAATTTTCATGGATAAAAGTGGTCTACAGCATTAAAAATAAGAAAATATAATACTATTATAAAAAATTAAAAAAAAAGAAAAAGAGTCGTCAGATGATTTTGGAAATTTTACCACGTCTAGGTAAGTCAAATATAACTATTATAAAAGTAAATCTCTACGTGTAATTATAACGAATCACATCAAAAAAAAATTCCCAAAAATTAAAATTCCGTAAAAGCTTAAATGTGATTTGAAAGTTTTTGGATTTAGACACTTCGCCATGTTCGTAAAATGCATAGTTAATAAAAAATCCATTAAGACGATTCTTGGGCTGCAAATGAAAAAAATAACTCATACAATTCTAAAATTAATTTAATAGGGTTTTCTTATTATTTTGGAAACCAAATATCTTGTTTATTAAACCAATTAGATAAAACACAAAAAAAAAAGTTCTCTAGTAATTTTTCAGTTTGAAAAAGTTTTCTGTAGACAAAAAATGTACAAAGAGGAATAAAAACTCATCACATCGTTGTAAAATCGATAGTTCCTCTTGCTACGCTCTAAATTTTAAATAAATTATTTTAGGTAATTAAATAATAAATACTTAAACTTTGTAATTTTTTAATTTAATATTTATCCATGTCACATATGGATGTCTCGTAACATGGAAAATAACTGTGGTATTAGGAGCATGGTTACCTATTCTGTGGTTTGAATTCAAACACATTTAAAGTACCAATATAAAACCGAAATCGAAATCAAAATTAACTCACACCGATATTATTAATCATAACTGAAATTTGCAATTTCGGTACAACTTTCAAATCGAAATTGAAACTAAATAAATCTAATAGCAGATAATATGTATAAAAACCGGACATAAAAATTAACGTAAACATTATCTAAATCAAAACCAAAGTCATTTTTTTCGGTTTTAGGACCGTTTTTTAAACAAAATAATGTGTTTTGTCTCTTTTATTTGTTTTCGATTGTTAATATAATGTAGAAACTTATAGACAAATATACTTTCAACATTGTCATTATATACAGATTGTTCATTTTTCTGTTAAAAATTTTTCGTAAATTCATTATTTATTGTTGGAAACTAATGAGAATGACGAATTTGGTTGTAAGTAAAAGTATTTGATGAGCAATTGGACACAAATTATATTGTAGATGGAACGCATGGTAATGCCAAATAATTAACAACTCACAACTTATTCTAGAGTAATTAAAATGTTCATAAATATATCAAATAGTCAATAGTAGCTTGTAGATAAATAGGTACTGATTGCTTAGTAGACGACACAAATAAAACTTTCTAGTATTGTATAAGTATTCTGAATACTCTAGCGTTCATACATAGAGTAGAAAAAAAAATAAGGAAAAAAGAAAAAATATTAAACAGATAGTATTTAGTATAATTTATGTGATGTTGTTTTCGTCTTATCACTCTGAAAAGATGATCGTTGTTATTTTTCATGTAGTTTTCTTAATATCTGAGAAAAACCGTGAAATTCCTTAGGAAAAACTGGAAGTGGTTTCATGGTTTATGTTCTTGCTGTTTATGTTGCAATTCAATTATTAATAATAGTAAAGTCTTCAAATTTTTACAAAATGATTATATTAGACTTTTCTAGATGACATTCTGGAAATTGTTGAGCTTTCATAGATATTTGAAAACAAATGATTTGGATAGTGATTATGTGACTATCATTAGTTCTGAAAATGTGATTATCCCTAGTTCAGTCAACTAGAGGACGGAAGGATAAGTGACTCTTGTCAAAATACAAACGAATAAATGTGGATCGTGCTGGGCGTTCAATGTTGTAAGCTTTAGGATATAAATCTATATGCAATACATGGATTTATTGCAATTTTTTTTTTTATATTTTTTAAAGAAATCGCATAATAATATCCACGGACTAAAAAAATACGTTTATACGAGCACTGGAGTAGTAAGAAAATGGGAGTTCTTCTTCAGGCGCAGATGCTGGTGCTGGTGCCAGAACCTGGACCATACCTAATACA